TGTAGTAATATTTCCAATCAGACCTCGCACTCTAGGCACTCTGCAGTATCTAATCTTCAGCCTAATGACATGCTGCCTTGTGGAAATATTTACGCTTTCCTCTCGGAAATGATAACCGGTTATTAACTCCATGTCAGCTCATTAAATTCAGAACTAAGCATATAACGCATTATATGCGGATGGAGGCCGGAAAATACAATCTACAAGAGGGTGTCAATTGGTGTTTTTGTTTTGAGCAAAAGAGAATGGCACGTTAAACAACTTATTCTGACATAGTGTAGAAAAGTCTTCCTAAATGCTAAAAATATAGCATCTGTTTAGCCAAAAATAAAGTGTTTTCATGGCCTCAAGATTCCACTCAAGCCAAGAGCAAAAACCTTATGGAAATTCCAAAAGTTTATGCAAACATCCAGTGTTTAAATTCAGCACAAATTGAAAATGTGCATGTGCATAATGGAAAGCAACTGTCCATGTGGACTGAACGATCACGCAGATAAATATTTATCTCTGAGATGCAACGCAACCTTTTAAAAGAGAAATACCGAAATTTCACGAGGGGCGTAAAATTACTGTTATTCATCACATGGTGGGTTTAATTCATCAGCCCTGAAGGCACGAGAAGATGAACTCTGTTTACCACTAAAGCTATTCTGGCTGTTTTGGAAGTGGCCATCAATCTCCAGCTATCTTTAAAAAGAAAGCATCAGTTTCAATCACCCAAGAGACGGCTAGTCAACTGCTGAAAAGATTCCTCTTCTCCTCCTCCTTGTCTTTTCAAGGTGAAGTTTTCCCCAAGTGACATGAAGACCCTGAGGGAGCGTGATATTAATGCTTTAAGATATGATAAAATCTACCAAAAATACACATGTGACTCCGCCCTTTGCCCCTGCTGTTGTTCTCAATTAAAAAGTTCAATTAACCTGCGCAACGAAGGCCTCTAGATACACCAAGACCTCATTGGCCTATAAAGATGGCAGTCTAAATGTTAAAGCATCCTCCCATGAGTGTTTTTTTATGGTGGTATATGATCCCCTATGGTGCGGCGAAATAAACATGAAGTGGGATAGATATTTAAGTACATAATAATTCTCTATAACCATTATTCCACTGAGTCTGAGCAATAATATGACTTTATTAGCGCTCTTACTTTGATATCAGTGATTGCATTGGCCAATATCCTCAGCGGGAAGCCAATGGTTGTTGTGCGCACTTGCACAGACTTTCTAACCCATAGGGTGGTGTTGTGTGTGTTTTTCTGGTGAAATAATTATCACTCATACTCCTCTAAGGAAAAAAAAACAAAACAATGGACCTGCAGGGCTGCCACCTGACTCAGAATGTGATTAGAGAAATACACTAAGGTCCTCTCTGTTAAAGCCCAGCGACTTTTATTTGTCTTGATAACAATGATTCAGATCATAATTTGTGTTTATCAACCCTCAAAACACTTATCTTTTTAATCTATAGTATCCATGTACATAAAGTTCAAGAAAATAAATCATTGTGTAACAATGTAAGCATGAATCATTATGTCAGTAAGGGGCCAGAAAATCAAATAAGTCAAATTAATAGAATCATTCAAGAATCATTTCAATTGGTTTTAAATTTTCTGAAAGTACTTAACTCAAAGGACAATTCAGTCATTAATTGAATACTGCTACCTTAGTGAATATATCATTCATACTGGTATTCGATTGATATTAGATTGATAACAAGGTTCAGTTCATGCAAAAGTTCATTCTGTTGAATCTTTTGAGCCTTTTTTAATAGACCAATCAAACCAGTTCATAAAACGAATTGTGAACAATTCCGTTTCCTTGGGCTTAGTTCCTGTTTTTTCATTGGTCATCACAGCAGAATAAACTGCCCAATTGTGTCACTATTTTTTTACACACTACTTAAGTGGGACCTAAAATAAAACTGACTGATCTTTGTAATGCATTTTACAAAACTGATATAAAAGATTCACTTACAGAAGCAGATTTAATGCTGTGAATTAAATGAACAAAGTGGATTTGAATATAAAGAAACAGAAAAGTCATTAATATTAGGATTGTGAGTCAACATATTCTGTATAAAGGCTTAATAATAATAATAATAATAACTTTAAAATGTTCATGAATAACTAATTGAGTAAAAAAAAACATATTTTGAATCAAGGAGAATAAACAGATTTTGCTTAACTAGATCCATCAGGGATAGCTGACAATTTACCCACCACCCACTATTTCAAACCTGCATGAGTTTTTTCTTTAGTTCAAAACTAAATATTGTCGTCTTGGAATTATAAGGTTCTATATGCATTCTAAATGATTTTGACAACATACTCTAAATATCTGAACAACACAGTTCATACAGTTGAAGTCAGAATTATTAGCCCCCCTGAATATTTAGCCCCCTTTTTATTTTTTTCCCCAATTTCTGTTTAACGGAGAGAAGATTTTTTTTTTCAACACATTTCACATATATTTTTAACAACTCTAGAATTTTTAACAATTCTAATAACTGATTTATTTTATATTTGCAATGATGACAGTACATAATATTTTACTGCTTTTTTTCAATGCACTTATATACAGCTTAAAATGACATTTAAAGGGTTAACTAGGTTAATTAGGTTAACTAGGCAAGTTATTGTTCAACAATGGTTTGTTCTGTAGACCTTCGAAAAAAAAAGTTTAACAATTTTAAAGAGGGCTAATAATTTTGACCGTAAAATGGGTTTTAAAAAAATTAAACTGCATTTCTTCTAGCCAAAATAAAACAAATTTTAAAAAAAAAATGATCGGGCATATTGTGAAAATTTTCTTGCTCTGTTAAACACCATTTGGGAAATAAAAAAATAAAATAATATTAAAAAAATAAAACAAATTCAAAGTGGGTATAATAATTCTGATTTCAACTGCACATGTTACGGCATTTAAATGTTTATTACTCAAACATAATCTAAATCATAAATTACATTTAAGGCCCTATACCGCATATCTCAGCTTCAACACACTTCATTTAAATTCACCAACATTTACCATTGAATCAAATAAAATCAATGTTAGTTAGTCTCAGGCTAGGCAAGGGATAGTAAGTAACTAGCAGGCAATCTTTTTACAAGGATGTCCAGAAAGGCTCAGCAGTCACGTCTTAACACACATTAGATGGACAATATTTACACCCGTGTTGTACTTGAAGAAAAGATCCCTGACCTTTCTCTGACAAGCCATTATCCTCATCATGGCACGGGCTGAAATGTGGAAGAAGAGACTATTGTGATGGAGGAAGGTGAGAAGGGAGGTCAGACTCCCATCACACTCCTTTTTTCTTCACTCGTGGTGGCTTATTCTTGAATCTTTTTAGTCAGCAAATCATTCACTTCAAAGCACTTACAAGTCAAAAGAATATCTCCTGTCTGAATTGCAGGGGTTTCTTTTTCATGGCTCCAAAGAATGACTATAGCATGAACAAATACCACAGAAGTGTAAAATGTATATCATTAGTTGACCCTATTGACCAAATATGTCCTTTAGTAAACAACTATACTGTATAGTATGCTACTCCTACTATGTCTGCCATGTCTGCTTTTCTGAGTAGATCTGATTTGATAGTTTCTTTTTTACCTGCTTAGAAATAAAATAAAATAAAATAAAATAAAATAAAATAAAATTAAATTAAATTAAATTAAATTAAATTAAATTAAATTAAATTAAAAATAATAATATAAAATAATTAAAATGGTTTATAAAATGGGTTTTACGCCTGTTTGGTCAAATATTTGGCCAGAACAAAAAAAATGCACTATAATGGGAAATATGTCTTCTAAGTCTTTGTGTGGAGTGAAAGAAATCTGATTTGAGAGTTTCTTAATTACCTGCTTAGATAAAATAAAAATTGACTATAAGTCAATTACTAAAATGCTCAATTAAATAATAAAAAAAAAAAAAATAAAATAAATAAATAAATACATTTAATTGGTTTTCAATGGGGGCTGCACGGTGGTGCAGCGGGAAGCATGTTCGCCTCACAGCAAGAAGGTTGCTGGTTCGAGCCTTGGCTGGGTCAGTTGGCGTTTCTGTGTGGAGTTTGCATGTTCTCTTTCCCCCCACAAGTCCAAAGACATGCGGTACAGGTAAATTGGGTAGGCTAAATTGTCCATAGTGTGTATGTGTGTGAATGAGTGTGTATGGATGTGTCCAGGGCATCCGCTGCGTAAAACATATGCTAATAAGTTGGTGGTTCATTCCACTGTGGCGACCCTAGATTAATAAAGGGACAAAGAATTACAGAAAACTAAAATAAAAAAATAAATAAATAAAATGAATAAATAAATGTAATTAATTTAAAATATCCTGTCAGTTACTAAAAACAACAAACAAAGATTCCATTACATTTGATTCTGTTATTTAATTCATAGATGACACATTAAATAAAACATTTGCAAAAAGCTTAAAAAGGGGGGGCTTTCATGCCTGTTTTGTCAGATTTTTTTTTACACAAGAATGTATCATAACCAAAAAAATATTATTCATCCCCTTCAGAACCACATACACATATAAAAAGTATTATTCATAGCTGGCAAATACTGTAGTTGGTGATATCACTTAGTAAATTAACACCATTTTTTGTGGTCAACTGCATAATAGGCTTGCATACAAAAATATGCATCCTGCTAATATGGATTGTCAAAAGTCCAAATGGCTACAAAAAAATCGGATTCGATTATATGTATTTGTTTTATTTTTTAACTGTCTAAAAGAGATCAACACAATGTGATGATTCCAAATAAAGAATAATATGGTAAAGCAACCATTTAATTTGACTCACAATTTCAAAAAGCTTAATTTCTCCAATCACAATCAAACAAAGAGATGCTAAAATGACTCCGGTAAATCGAGAAAAATAAAAAGAACGCCTCATAGACACCAATATACAAAAATAAAAAAATGCAAAATAAATACAAACGCTGAGACATCCATAGAACCTTTAAAAAGCTCAAACAAAGCACTTACCCTAAGAAAAGACAGGTCACGGCTGCGATCAATGCTGGTGATCTCCAGATTCCCCATCACCACCTCACAGTTCTCATAGTATTTACGAAGGGTCCGATACTGCTGGTCCAGATCTGACAGAGTGCTCAGTTTATTTTCTGTGCCAGTGCATACTGCAAAAAGAAGAAAACAAAACACAAACATTACATTCTGATGCTGCAAACAACAGATGCAGGAACTGTTAGGCGCTTCAGATCATCCAGCAATGCAATTCAATCAGGCCTGAAGCTCCACTAAGAGAGACAAGGAGGCTCCGGCCCCAGACGGACAACTTGACAAGAAATTAAACAGAGCCATTTCTGCTCATCAAACACCTTGCACCAATCAAAGACATTTGCCATCTGTTGAATCAGCTGGCATTGCCTTTGAGCCAAGAGTCGAACCCTCCCTCTCACGCCTCAATGAACCACTGTCAAAACATCCACATCTATCCCACGCCACCCGCTCTGTGCCCGCCAGGAAACCGAAAGAGTCAGCACATGCATTGAAGCACCATATGATTAGACTAAGTGACAACGCGGCTACGCATCTTCCTATTATATTTGATATTCAGCTACAGCTGTTAGAGTAATGAATGTTATGCTACTTTCTTAACTTAGCAGAGACGTATTCATCATGTGCTTATTATCAGACTCACATACAGAATGAGGGGAGAATTTCCATTTCCTAGGCCACATCTGCGTGTCTTGATTTTAAAGTCAAATTTGACCCACAAATAAACTTTTGTCATCTATTGCTCAATCGTAAACAGTATTCTTGATATGATTTTGCTTGAAACACACGCACATGGTGACACAATGGTGCAGTAGGTAGTGCTGTCGCCTCACAGCAAAAAGGTTACTGGTTCGAGCCTTGGCCGGGTCAGTTGGCATTTCTGTGTGGAGCTTGTATGTTCTCCCTGCGTTTGTGTTGGTTTGCTCCGGGTGCTTTGGTTTTCCCCACAGACCAAAGACATGCGGTACAGGTGAATTGGGTAGGCTAAATTGTCCGTAGTGTATGAGTGTGAAACAACTTCCCAGAGATGGGTTGCAGCTGGAAGGGCATCCGCTGCATAAAACATATGCTGGATAAGTTGGCGGTTCATTTCACTGTGGCGACCCCAGATTTATAAAGGGACTAAGCCAAAAAGAAAATGAATGAACACATGCACATGTACACCTATCTTTATGGGGACTTCCCATATAGATGAAATGATTTTTATTTCCCAACCCTACCCCTAAACCCAATCCTCATAGAAGACAATCTGCAGTTTTACATTTTCAAAAGGCTTCAATCTGTGATTTATAAGTAGTTTGCTCTTGGGCACAAAACATTTTGAAAAAGTGTCCCCGCAAGGTCACAATTAGCTGGTATTTATATGCGTTACTGAAGTACTTGTGAGTATTAAGTGCCTACAACGGTGGGAACACAAGGTGCGTGCACACACACAAACACACACACACACACACACACAAAAATATATATATATATATTTATGCTGCGGGCGTCATGGTGGCACACTCGGTAGCACAATCGCCTCACAGCAAGAATGTCATTGGTTCGAGCCCGGCTGGGTCTAGTATTTGCTTCGGTTTCCCCACAGTCCAAAGACATGCAGTTTAGGTGAATTAACAAATTTGGCCGTAGTGTATGCGTATATGTATATACATATATATAGTATATGTATAAACCCCAAAAAAAAAAATGAATGAATGAATATTTGAATATGTCAAGTGCTATGACTTCGCATCAGTTTAATTCATAATTAAGTAGCTTTTTAAACTGGCTCAAATGATCATCAAAGCAATTTCGTTTAAAAGTAGGATTGTGAGAGAATTAGGTAGTGGTGTAAAGTAACAAATTGCAAATACTCACATTAATTGAGTAGTTCATCTCGGGAATTGTAATGTGCTAAATAGTTTCCAAATTGTGTATGTTTACTTTCCCTTGAATGCATTTTCAGAGCAATATCGGCACTTTTACTCTAGTACTTTCCTTCAACCTGCAGTCACTACTTTGTTTTTCTTTTCTATGTGAATTAGAAAAATCAGACCTGTGGCTCTTGTCCAATCAAATCACACATTGAAGGTAAATCGCCTCATAATGAACTACCTCAAAACATGGGCGATATATAATTGCAGCAAACTGTTTAGAAGCTTTAAAAGTGTATCAGGAAGATGTCCAAAATAGTCTTACGCAATGACCCAGAGACTGTTTAGATGCATGTTACTGATGAGAGAATAACGGATGTTTACTAGAATGCCGGAAATGGCCTTAAACACCCACATTACCAATATGATGCCTATCAGATGTTGTGCTTTGGGTGTCATACCTGATGAATAAACCAATATTATTAATATGACGCTGGTTTAAGATGTTATCTCGACGTTGGATTTGGTCATTTTCTAACACATCGTAAAATTAACCAAATATCGATGTCTTTTAACGTGGTTATTGGACAACAAAATAACATTGTCCTTAGACGCTGGCTAGACAATCAATTTTGGTCACCTGACATCACAACCTAAGTTTAACCTAGTATGAATGTCTTATGACGTGCCTGCTGGGCAATAACTAAATGCACTACTGAATGTTACGTTTACACACATCCACAAATTACATATAGAGTAAATGTATCAACTTTTACAGGGTAACACTCACTACTCTTAAGTACTTTTGACTCATACTTTGAGTAATTGTTACTACAGATACTTTTAATCTACTTGCATTACATTTTAGGCAAGTTATTGTACTTTTACTTAAGTATGATCTTCCAGTACTCTTTCCATCACAATTAGGACATGGGTTTATTTATTTTTTTTATTTGTTTGTTTGTTTGTTTGTTTGTTTGTTTATATTAGGGGTGAATTCAGGTCAACTGGGACAATTTTCCTTGGTCATATCAATGGCAAAAAATTGTCCCAAGTGATCTGATGTCCAAAATTTATTTTATTTGATAGTAAATTAAATATTTAATTAAATTAAATGTATTATTTAATTAAATCTCATTGCAGTCTCCATTATTTGCAAATAAAAAAACAGTAAAATAATTATGCTGACAAAAAACAATAGGGGATAATGAAAAACTAAATTTATAATTTGCTCATGAATCTCTTCTTTTTTTTCAACTACTAGATTCAAAACATTCACATTGTGTTTGATGATCAATATTTCCAAAAGATAAAATGTTTAAAACTTTTTAAAAAGGATATTTGGAACAAATGTCCTTCGTGTTTTGTTAGCTAAAGCCATGCAGGTTTACAACATATTTAGCAAATGATTAGAGAGTTACTTAATTTGCTAGTGAACTGTCAGCCACACTCTTCAAATGTACTGTTTATTTTTTTAAAACATTTTAATCAGATTAAATGCACTTTAAGAAGAGTATTTGATTTTTGAGGATGTTTATAAAGACCTCAAAGCTCTAATGACTTTATTTGTAATCAAGACAAGCACATAGCCAAATTATCAGAGAAGAAAAACCACAATGTATTTCTAATACTGAAAAAAAAAAAAAAAGAATTTGTGGGAAAAAAGAAACGGAAATATGTTCAAGTCATGTGTAAGACCTGACTGTTTTCAATAATCCTTCACATGCATTAGAGTAAGGGAGATGTTATGAAAGAAGCTTAGTCATAATAAATGTTTATTACACCTTCGGGGCTTCATTGTGAGATTACAGGTGAATTGTGGGGTATAATCTTGTTAAGGGAAGGTTCCTTGCTATACCATATTCTACAGCTTAAAAAAAGGTCCAGCAAGATCAAAAGCATGAAAAATAGGAAAAACATTCTCAAATAATGATATATAATAATAATAATAATAATGAACTTAAGGTCACGCTAATCTTTAGGTGCTAAAAAGTGTTTTCTTTATATATTTGCTACTATCTAAATAAATGTCAATTAAACAGTGTAAACGTCACAGCAAACTTGACACTCATTGATGGCCTATATTTCTTGCCAAGGGCCACAGAAGATGCTAAAATGAAGCACATATGCTTACAAGCTGTACCGTTTGTGTCTTGCTCAAAGAAAAACAAAACAAAACACACAGTCATGCTGGAGATACTGGCCCTCAGCAAACCTCCTCAGTGACGCAAACAGGCAAACAACACAAAGAAATGTCATCTTTATTTTCACTTCATGACTCTGATTTCAGCTCGACTGAACCTCTGTTATATTTTGTTATGTTACATCCGGAAGGATTGTGGCAGGAATCCCAAATCTACATTTTATATTGTTAGCAATTCACAATCTATGACAAGTCAGTAATAAATAGGTTTTTGATTATCAATACATACTGGATCATACCATTTGGCTAAAAAAAGTGCATTTCTTGGTGAGTGGACTTGACAAATCATTCGAAGAAACACTATATGAACTCAATGTTCACCTGTGAATGTATCACAAATCATGTTGCACTAAATATTAAATACATCTTTTACACAATATATAGCACAATATAGCTTGGTATTATGTAAAAGTACTTGTATAATATGTCTTAGGTTATGTGTATACAGTAGTTTAAATATCTATAATACACTCGCCGGCCACTTTATTAGGTACACCTTACTAGTACCGGGCTGGATTCTCTTTTGCTTTCAGAACTGTCTTAACTCTTCATTGAATAGATTCAACAAGGAATTGAGATCTGGTGACTGTGGAGTTTGCGTACAGTGAACGCATTGTCATGTTTAAGAAACTAGTCTGAGATGTAATGAGTGGTTATTTGAGTTACTGTTGCTTTTCTATCAGCCTTGAACCAGTCTGGTCATTCTCTTCTGACCTGTGGCATCAACAAGGCATTTGCACCCACATATCTGCCGCTCACTGAATATTTTCTCTTTTTCGGACCATTCTCTGTAAACCCTACAGATGGTTGTGTGTGAAAATCCTAGTAGATCAGCAGTTTCTGAAATACTCAGAGCAGCCAATGTGGCAGTGACCAGTGAGTGTATGAGTAATTAGTAGTAGGCATAGATTAAATATAAAGTTAAAAATTAAAATAATTGACTGGACTTCTGTTATATTTATGTTACTCCAGGACAGATTGTGACTGGAATCTCATATCTGGATTTTATAATATTAACAATCTATGATAAGTCAGCTCCTTACAGTCACTCCATAGCTTT